ACTGATGATTTAGGACTGGTTAAAGCTGGGTAGTATTCATTTGATGGTGTGATTCGTAGTGCTCCGAATTGGTATTTGGGGGTTAGAGATTCACGTAAGGAGGGGTTTGTGATTTGTTTTTGCATGTTTGATAGGGCTTGGGATTGGACTAGAGTACCGAGGATGCTGTTTTTTAGAAATGCTGGGTAGAGAAGTTCGGTCTGTTTTTTTGGAGGATATGTTTATGAATGTGAGTATGAGTTAACACCCTTATTCTAATTTGAATGACAGTACTCTTTTACATACCCCGATCATCAAAAAGTTTCGCCAAATTCTACAAGCAAATGGCACCTTCGCGAAGATCCTATACATGGGGTGGGAATATGAACAAGAGACAAAAAAAGAAGAGTAGCAGTGGAAAAACGAAAAAACTTTGTTAAATTATAAGCTCTTCAACAAGATTCATATAAAATCCTAAACTCACCATTTCGCAAATTTTGAATATGTATACTGAACCTTAGGTAGAACCCAAGCCGCGCTTCGTTGAAACACCACCAACCGTTTAACATCCATATCGTTAATCATCCTCGGAACAATCTGAACAGAAGTCGCGCCAGTACCAATAATAGCGACAGTCTTGTTGGTAAAGTCGATGTCGTTTTTCCATTGTGATGAATGGAAAACGGGTCCCTTGAAGGAGGAGAGGTTGGGGAATGATGGGATTTTGGGAACGTGGAGGGGACCGTTGGCAAGGAACACGAATGTGTAGGGTGTTGTGGTTGGTGTGTCATTGGTGTTTGGTGAGATGGTGGTTAGTAGCCAGGTGTTTGTTGATTCATCCCATTGGAGGTTGGTAACGGTTGTCTCGAAACTATTCAAAGGAAAGGAATTGGTACATGTGTTCTTTCACTCGTAATATACAGGAACCATATACAAACCTCGCGATATCATATAGGCCGTATTTCTTTGCAACGCCACACAAATATTCCTTGATCTCGGATTGCCCAGAATAATGACGAGGCCAGTCTGTAAACGGTTGAATGTAAGTTAGAATGATTACTTCTTTATCATGATTAAATGTGATCACTGAGAACAAAAAAAC